ACCTCATCATTTGACAACTCAGCCAATTATCTCCATCTCTCGAGGACTGAACATTGAGTAATGACACTTCCTACCGTAGTCAGCACTTACCTTAATAGCGATTGAGATGGCAAACTAATTTCTTGAATGAATTATGATGTTGGTAAAGATTGTTTAGAGTTTTAGTGGTATTGTAATTCATTATTGAGAGTATTTAAGTAACTGTTTTCAAATTTAATTGGGTGTCAAAGTCAAAGTCAAAACTATTTATTTCAATTAGATCTGTCACTTTTGGCCATCAAGCAAATGTTAAAACGTTAAAAAATACCTAAAAATCGCGGGCTTATCACGTGAAGCTCTACTAGTTTTGAGCCACAGAGGAGCTCTTTCTCATAAGCAGATTGCGCGGTCGCGACGATCGCCCAGTCTTCGCGCTTTGTTAATTTAGTATGTCTCACCATAGTTATTTTAAAAATATAAAAAAATGTCAGTCCTCTAGTGAAGCTATTTCCACGTTCCATAGAGTAGATTTCTATGGACAAGAACGAGCAAGAAAATCCATAGGTTATACTTTTTTAAACAAGTTCATCTTACATCTTACAATGACATAATGCAGTATCGAATTTTATCACTTATTAGATGGGACTCATAGAAGACCAAGACCACTTAAAAATGCATTTACCTATCAAAGACTAAGCATACTGTTACGTCATTCCTTATCCCTTCCTACCAACACAAGCCTAAGTAAGAAGGATTGGTGCTCCCAAGAGTGTGAGGCTTCCTGCGGTTTGGCGAGCGGTCAACTCGTTACCGTGCCCCCGAGACCGGAATGATAAGATGGCTTACCTAGGCAATAAGCATAGCTTTACTTTATTGTGTAATCTAGGAATATTAGGTGATTTGTAATGGATGTGTGTGGACTTATTGAAATTGTTAATGTGAAATATTAATTTGAAATCGAAACGGGTTTGTTTTTTAAGGGGGGGAAATCATCAAATGTCTTCTCCCGCTTGGGTGAGGCGGGAGGGAGTGTCAATCTCTTACTGACTAAAAACCACCCCGTCCCTACTCACGCACTTCGAGCCGTAGCCCCGATAACCCGCCAGGTTCTCCGCGGCTCCGTATCGGCATCAGTCCTATTGGGCCCCGTGGTGGTCTGATGGCTCTTTGAGGCGCGCGCGAAACTCGATGCGAAATTGAAACGGGTAAAGTATGGAGTATTTTTAAGCTACGAGCTACTATGACCTAATGATATACTAATGAAATAAACGATCCTCAAACTCCTAATCTCCAAAAGGCCGGTAACGTACTTGTAACGCGTCTGGTGTTCCAGTTGTCCATGAGCGGCGCCGATTGCTTACGATCAGGTGACCCGTCTGCTCTTTTACCAGTTTATGCCATAAAAAATGCATACATTAAGGATCGTGGTGAGTGGTTATTGGTGGATTTTACATGTAATTAGAGGTCATCCTCAAATCTAATAGCAGCTTATAATATTTCTGCTAAGCTAAACTTACCCATATTTGGTGAAGAGCTTATTCCAAGGTCAAATAAAACTAACAAAATTTACAGTCACCTTGAAACTTGAAATCGAGCAACATTTCCTGAATTTCAGTAGCAAACAAGATTAATCCGCTTAAAAGTAGTTTCATATCCTGATTTATTTATATCACCTGTGAAAACTGCACCCTTTTCAGCATCAAGTGGTCATTTCGACCGTTTCCTTGTTCAGAGTGTTATTTAATTAAAATGTTAAATGTAGAACTATATAGTATGGTGAGGGTTAAAGTATTGCTGTTTGGGTACAATAATTACCCTTGGAGACAATTCTAGAAAAGTTTTTGGGTTCTAGCCAATTGGTATTTGACTGGCTTATTATTAGCTTATAGAGTAGGTTTGTGAAAATTTTTGGTACTAGAAGTTACTATCGAATGGCTTGTTAGTGTTAATTAAAGTATTTTACCAGGTATTACTGAAAGAGGGAATAGTTTAAAAGGGTTTTATATTTTAATTTTTGGAGATACGAAATTATTTGCCAGTTTTATGGAATTCACGTATAAAAATATGCTTATACAATTTTCTCTAAAATTAGACTAAAAATATCGAAAGATAATAATTACACCAGTGACACAAAGAACATCAAAGAAACATTATTCCTAGAAGAAAGCTAAAATTAGTACCTAGTAAAGATAAAAATATTTTTATCAACAGTCGATTCTCAGAACAGTCCTCAGACCTAATTACACTTAATCCACGTTTCGCTGCATAACCTCAAACCCATAAAAGTCAGACACCAACACAAAACTTAATTTATTTACAATTTCAACTTAGATTTTGTTAATTTCATCTTCTAAAAATGCAAATCAGTTTATTAAAGTTTCAAAACACGTCTTGACACGTAATTTTCTTTTGTGGTTTCAAGAAATCGTTCGGGCATCCAGAGGGAGCCGACCTTTGTGAGATTTAAGAAAAAAATTTGGTCCTTTGCGTCGCGTCGGATTTTAGTGAAACAATCTGAGGACCAAATTAGTCCCCTAGTTGGGTCCTTTTATTGTTTAAGTTGGATAATTATTTTCCTGGAACATTTATATGTCCGGTTTTAAGGGTGGGTTTTATTAAACTTATTTCGGGTATTACTTGATAAACACACGTGGAATTTAATGAGTTAAAGTGGTTTTGGTAATAAATTTTACAGTCGGGTATGTGTGCACAGTGAAATGTGATTTTAACAAGGATTGTGTTGACAACTTTTTTAAGTAAGGGTTAATGTTATTTATCTGCTCTTAGCAGGGTAATGCTAGTGGTTTTTGTAATTGTTTAGAGTATATTTAATTTTGTTTTAGCTGTTAAAATAACAAAATTATTTTGGGTTTCAGTATTTTTTAGTTTTATTGTGGCAAGATGATGAACATATTTGGGTTGTAGATTTTGTTACATTTGTATAATTGTATAAATACAATATAATTATAATAAAGGTGCTTTTCTAGATTGACAATAAAAAATTAAATAAGAGACTGTACAGAAAATAATTACTGCAAAACATATCATCAGGTATTTGCAAGTGGGGAAAAAAGGCACTGTTCGCTATATGTGATACCATAAACATTCCACGGTGGCCGGTAAAGGGGTAATTACTAAAGTTAAACAACTAACAAACCCTCGGTAATTTGCCTTTGACTGGTAATTACTTACTCCTTGAGAGTATGGAGGTGGACCTACTTGTAAATCTGAAACTTTACACTTTGGGTGTTGAGGTAGGTACTTAATGACTGGGCATCTTACGGTACTGGCAAAAGACCTCAAGCTACTTTTATTTTACAGACAATGTAGTTCTTGCATGGTCTTACCAAGACTTTCTTTCTCTCTTGAAATGAAACGAAATTATATTTATTTCTGCGAATAAGTTACAATGTAACAGTTTCCATGTTATGTCGGTTGATTAATAAAATATAGTCGGATTTATTTTATTTGGATTTATTATAATATTTATTTATTTATTTATTTATTCCACTTACATTTATCTTTACAGGTTAATGCCCAATGCGATAAATGTGCTCATCTTACTATCTACTTATAGCATATTACATATAATGCCTTCCTTGTGAATTCACCCAGAGGACAACAAAATAGGTCGATTTCATTAGAAATCAGGTTGAGCGTGCGAAGTGCACGCGTCAGCGTATGTTGCACAGAGCACACGACGTTCACACACACCAAAGTTTGACAGATAGACAGCGGCGTTATTGACAAGTGTCCTACCTTAGATAATACGTGATGGTAAGGTAATAGTGCCGGGGCCTTTACTTACTAAATAGTGAAGTTAATACATACATGTAACATATCGTTAAATTTTTAAATAAGGGCCGGCATTTCTTAATTTTATTACTCTGAGAAGAAACGCCAAAGCGAACTCAGAGGTCATAGTCTGTTTTAAAGTCCAGACAGATTATGTAATGTGCGAGAACCATGCAAGCTGTAGTGGTCTTTTGAGGAAAGATTCACAACAGTTTGAGCAGACCTGTACTGATGGCAATTTCCATTCAGCTCAACTGCTCCAGTAACGGATGTTGCTGAATGACCCGACGAAGAACACCAATCAAAAGAACATTTGAGTAGACCGCACAAATGAAGACGTATAAAGTCACTACCGAAAATTAATATTAAAAAGACAGGTCCTTTACTTATCTTAGACTTATGTCTTACTAAAAATGTTTGAATCAAAAGTAGGTCTAACATCAGTTAGTACTTGCTTCGGCAGTACATATACTAAAATTGTAACGATACAAAGAAGATTAGCATGGCCCCTGCGCAAGGATGACACGCAAAATCGTGAAGCGTTCCACATTTTTGCGTACCTTGTATCACGCCTTTTTTATTTTATTAAATATTTTAAGAGTTTTGGGAGACTATTAATTTTTGACATCATTATATCCGCCAAAGATATAACATGGTCCAAATTCATTTCGAAAAACGAGTATGATATTTGGAGTAGAAAATGACTCTTCATATAATAAGGCTGCAGAATTCAAACATGATTTATATCCATTACAAAATGTTATCTATAGAGTGGACATCAATAAAACATTGAAGAAAATATTGAAACATTTATCTAACAACAATTCTCTAAATAAAATGTTACTTTCAATCACTCAGCCGCCGCAAACAGTGATCCCGAAATCGACACCCGCTAAGTATAAGTATGTATCTGCCTGATACACGAATTGGTTTTTATTGCATTTTTAGCTCCAACGTATCTGTATTTAAACAATAAAAAAATATAAAAAAAATTATAACAACCCAACATGCTTTTTTTTCAGACGCATAAGTATTTATATGAATTAGCTAATAAATAAACACAACGTAAAAACATGTACGTTCCTGTTAAATAGTTTGACGCGGGGGGAGCGGGACGCGGGGTGCGGGCAACTGCCGCTCTCTCAGTTCTTCGGCGGTAACAGCGAGCGGCACGCGCGGGCGCTGCGTAATATAATTATGTCGAGTGAACGGTATAAATTCTTAATATCGCTAAAGGAAGATGCAATTAAAAGGCGACAGGTTGTGACCATATCACCATCAGACGGGATGGATTCACCACCTAGACAAGGTAAATACTTTTAACCCATTATTTCATTTATTTCTTACTATATATTTTAAGAGCACCTTTAAATTGAATAACTAGGTGTATGGTAAATATTTAAATTTTAATAATATATTGAAAAACTGTTTCCCTCGTGATATTTCGGATTTTATGCATTCCCTGTGCATAAGTGTGTAACTGCGTAGTTACACATTTCTACGCTGGAGTCAATTTTAATTGATAATTGTATCTAGTCACTTACATATTTGTTCTACGGAAAGCGTGTAAAATTAAGTAGGTTAACTAACTTATACATCGTTATACATTGGAATTAAACTAGAATATAAATATTTATCTATACACTTACATAGTTATGCTTATATTAAAACACTATTGTTTATCGTAAAAAACAGTTTTTAATTCGATTTTGATTATTTTCAGACTCTCCAGTACACTTTTCAAAATATTTTACGGATGAAAACTTACAAATGATGACCGAAATTATTGAAAACAGTGACGAAGAAAAAAGTGCTCATGATAATGATGATGACGACCCAGTGCTTTCACCACCTGAAGTAAACTCTTACGACCCCATATTAGCACCAGCACCAATAATGCTCCAATCACCTAATATAATGAGCAATATCAGTTCAGGTATTGAAAATGATGTTTCTATTGAGTCACCAAATTTCTCGTCAATTATAGCTAAAGAAATTGCCCAGTTGGAGTCTGGTATATCACCAGTTCCTACCACACCTCTTTCTTTGCCAGTAAATTCACCCATGCCAATAGAGACCCAGTTATCATCACCAAGGCACAGACAGTATGCAAGAAAACAAGATAAAGGTCGATTACGATTAGTCCATAAAGATCAATGGTTGGATGTTATGCGGAAGAAAAATAAAAATTTAGGAAATGCTTACAAAAGTAGGGATGGGAAGTCAAGAAATAAGAGAGAGATGGGGCCGAGTTGTGGAGAGAAATGTAAGTTAAAATGTTCACAAAAAATTACGGATATTGATAGAAACTTGCTTTTTGTAGCGTTTTGGTCTATGGGAGATATAGTTCGCCATTGGGATTACATCAATAAGTACTGTGAAAAAATTAATAAACGTCGTGTTACTACTGAAACTGCATCCAGAAGAGAATTTACTCTGCGATATTATTTACCTACAAAAACACATATGACCGATTCATTGGCTCCAAACATACAGACTTTGAAAATACAAGTTTGCAAAACCATGTTTTTAAACACCTTTGGGATCAAACAAGGTCTGGTATACTCAGCATTAAAGAAGCTTTCATTGGAAGGTACTGTTGCCCATGACAAAAGAGGCATCCATACACACACCAAGAAAATCACTGAAGAAATTATTGCAAGTGTTTGTGATCATGTGAACAGTTTTGCACCTGTGGAATCACACTATGTTCGTAAACGGAGTGACAAAGTTTACCTAGATGGATCTCTGACATTTGCTAAGATGTTTTTGTTGTATAAGGATTGGAATGATCCCAAAAACCAAAATAAAGCACAAACAGCAAGGCAATATCGTGATATTATCAATAGCCATATTAATTTGGGATTCCATATTCCCAAAAAAGATCAATGCGATGTTTGTCACGTATACAAAAACTTACTACGTCCTGTAAGTGAAGAGCAGTTTCAAATATATAAGACACACATGAGGAACAAAACTATTGCACGAGAGTTTAAAATCAAAGATAAAGAATGTTCTTTAAAATCTAATGACGTCCTAACGGCGGTGTATGATTTTCAAAAAGTACATGGAATGCCCTATGGTGAAACAAGTATCCTTTATTACAAGCGAAAATTAACTGTATTTAATTTCACAGTATACGAAATGGGGAGTAGGGTTGCTAAATGCTATGTTTGGGACGAAAGCACGGCAAAACGAGGAGCTAACGAGGTGAGCAGCTGTTTGTATAATTATATTAAGGAACATCATCAGAAGGGCATAAAAATATTCAACTTTTGGTCTGACAATTGCGGAGGACAAAACCGCAATCGAATCGTTTTTGCTGCTTATTTGCGAGCTGCTAAGGCCTTTCAGGTCACTATCACTCACAAATATTTTGAGAAAGGTCACACTCAAAATGAGGGTGACAGTGTACATGCCCTTATTGAAAGAACTGCCAAGAATAAAATGGTATACACCCCCGATCAATGGTATGCCCTCATAAGATGGGCTAAACAAGATGGACGCCCTTACTTAGTACAGGAAATGACTACATCAGATTTTATTGATTTTAAAGCACTGCTTCCAGGATGCAACTGGACTGTCAACACAAATCGAGAACGAGTTTTCTGGTCTCAATTAAGACAGTTGGAAATACGGCCAGAATCTACTGATAGAATACATTATAAAATAGATTTCTGTGAACATGAGTTCAAGTGCATTATTGTAAATAATGTACTTGAGACTCCCAAAACCAGATCGAGGAACCGCTTAAGGGAAGACACCAGTCAAATTTCAGACCCACTATTACGACCGTTGACTCAAGCATACAAGGGAAAATTGCCAATACCCAAAGCTAAACTTCAGGATTTAAAATATTTATGTCAAAATAATATAATACCTTCTATTTATCATGACTTTTACATGAGTTTGATAGAGGATGATAATGATAACGAACATGACAAAGATGAAGAAGATGAAGAAGAAGAATGAAAATATTGTTTATGTGATAATTATTACGTATAGATCTCAGTATTGTAGTGCTATTATTCAATAAGTAATTAAAACATAAAAACGTTGTTGAACAACTTACCAATGTGATTAATAAGTGCCTGATATTTCTATAAACTTGTTTATTATTGTTAATGTGATCTCAGTACAAATAGGTATATACAAGTAGGTATATTATTGATTTATAAAATAACCATTTTGTGGAACCTATAGGTCTGAAAATAATACTGATGTTTCTTTATAAGATTGTTTAGAATTTATTGAATACTTATTTTTTATAATTATTTTTATTTTGAGCATGCGTCTTAACTCGAGACGTAATTTGACCGGATTTTTATATTTTTAGGATATGCCATATTCTTTAAATAAGTTCCATGTGATTTTTTAAGGTGAATTTTCGAGGGTAATCCGCGAAATTTAAGTGATGCATGGTGTCTAAGTCAAAGATTCTTAGGTGTTTTAGAAACTGGTGCAATTTGTGCACAATCCAAGAAAAAATGATTTCACACTGTCGCGAATTTTTATTTAAATAAAGTTGTAATTGATGGAAACCCTACCTAAGAATATTTGCATTGGCGCCCTGCATTGGGGTATGACCCAAATGTAAGTGCAAACTTTTATTTAGACTTTAAAAAAGTGTCTGACTGATTAATATTTAAGTTTGCTTTCGATTTTGTTGATTGGTACAATTTTTATAAATAAATAATTATGAACGTTCTAAAATTCAAATAAGTATGTTTATTTTTCTCTATCTTGTTTTTTAATTTGATAATAATAAATATAAAACAAAGTATCTTCCGTCTTTTACTTCAAAATAATAAGATTCATAAAAAAATCGGTAATGAGATTTAGTTACATTATCAACAATAGTGTTGTAATCATGGGGATAAAGTAGGTAAGTAACCGTTATACAAAATGCCTCAATTATAATGTCCAGTTAAAAGTAACTATCTGGCGGTTAAAGCATTTACCAGCATAAATATTCCACAGAATAAGTGTGGATGTGGCAGTTAGAGTACTTGGGTACGTTCTAAGACCGGAGTAAAATTACGTATGTGTGATAAAATAAAACCCTAGACCTTTTGGATCAAAATTCACTTTTAAACATAAACTGTACTTAATTTGAAATTCGGTTACCAAATTTTAAACCATAAAACCTTAAAGTGACAAAGATATGACAGTTTAAATTTCTTACAATCTTAAATTCACTCTCCTCTAAAATTGTAATTTTTCAGTTAGTTACTTATACTTAGGACGTGTCGAAATATTTATTCCCCTTTTATTCATGGAGCATGATAAATAATTCACAATACTGTAAAATTGTTATTTTAAATTCGTTTTAAAAACGTACAATGTCCATTAATCAGTTGGCGTCGTAGTGAATTTTTGGTGGCCGATGTTTATAAAATGGCCGCGTCCAATTTTTGGGGTTTATCGTAAAGGATAAGAGCTTTGGGACTATATTTTGTTGAATTTAAATTAAGGAATATTGATTGGTGGCTATACTAAACTTGTCATCATTTGTAGGAGGTGGATTAGTTTTATGGTAATTTAAGGACCTGTAGGGGATTTAAGGGGTGATGTAGAAGCTTTTTGTTGTGATCGAGAGTATTTTGTGGGAAGATTCGTTTTAATTTACAGTTTATTCACCGGACTTATATCTGAGGTTCTTTCCACAGTTACATTTTTTTATGTAATAAGAGGCAAACAAGCAGACAAATCACCTGATGGTAAGCGATCAGCGCCGGCCATACCACAGGTGCGTTGCCGGCCTTTTAAAAAGGTGGAAGCTCTATTCTTGAAGGTTTTAGGTCGTATCGGTTCGGAAATACCGCCGACGACAGATCATTCTACAGTTTTGCTGTTCAGCAAAAAGCTACAAGACAAGCCCACAGCTGTGGCCTGCCAAACTTCTATGTGATGGGACGATATCCGTCCTAGTCTAGAGGACTATCTGTCTATATCTGTCGAGAGGATGCATCAAGGTCAAGTATCAGAACAAACAATTTCTCAGAGCACTCCCCGTAGTATAAGCAATACAAGATGCACAACGAAGTTACATCTCTGATATGAGCATAATGCGTCATTATATGACATTTATGATTTGTGAAAGTATTTATAGCATGCTTTTATTAAACGTAACATAAGATCTATTATTATTATAATTATATGTCGTCTTTTTGTCGAAGGTGCTTGAGGCCTGTGTCCATAATCAACTTTCGAATTTCATTTACTGTAACTGTCTTATTAGTCCTCTACAGTCTGGATTCAGGCCTGGGCACAGTACTGTAACTGCACTCCTCAAGGTCATTGGCGATGTGAAGGCGGGAATGGGGGACACTGAGATCACAGTATTGGTTTTGGTGGACTTCTCAAATGCCTTCAACATGGTCGACCATGATATCCTACTAGCTATCCTTTCCCATTTTTCGGTCTCTGATGACGCACTGGAATGGTTTTCTTCTTATCTTCAGGAGCGTCAGCAATCAGTTCACGTTGATGAGACCTCATCAAACTGGAACCACTTGCAGACTGGCGTTCCTCAAGGCGGTATTCTCTCTCCTCTTTTATTCTCTATTTTCATAAACCTTATTACTTCTGAACTTCAGTGTGCGTACCATCTGTATGCCGACGACCTACAGGTGTACTGTCGGGCTAAGATCGAGGATTTGCCTGGGGCAATCGCGAGAGTGAACGCTGACTTAGCTGCTATATATAATTGGTCTGAGAGGTTTGGAATAGCTGTGAACCCGAATAAATGTCAGGCGATTATGGTGGGAAGTTCTCGTACCTTGTGTAAGGTTGACAGTGCAACTATGCCGCCTGTACTGTTCAACGGTGCGATCATACCTTTCAGCGGCGACGTGAAGAATCTTGGCTTGTATGTTGACAGTAACTTAAACTGGCGTGCTCATGTCACTAGCATATGCCAACGGGTCACCGGGACGCTGCGGGCCCTGTATCGTTTGAGAAACTTTCTTCCGTCCTCTGCTAAGATAATGCTTGTCCAGTCCTTGGTTTTCCCCATTATTGATTATGCTGATGTGTGTTTTTTCGACCTGAATGCAGATCTACTTAACAAACTTGACCGCCTTTTGAATACCTGCATTCGATTCGTCTTCAACCTGCGTAAGTACGACCATGTCTCTGCATTTCGATTGCAACTAAAGTGGTTGCCCATACGTCAGCGCAGGGAACAACGGGCGCTAACCACTTTATTCTCCCTTCTTAATTCTCCCAATTCTCCTACTTATCTTTCCTCATATTTCCAGTATGTGAGCGCTAACCATAGCAAATACCTCCGTTCTTCTAATAATCTTCTGTTACAATGTCCCACACATCGAACTGACTTCCTTCACTCTTCTTTTTTCGTCCAATCCATCTTGCTGTGGAATGCGATGCCGACGGATATCAGGACGGCGACCAGTCGTCTGTCCTTCAAATTTAAGGTTCGTGAGTATCTACAGAAGAGGCTAGCAGACTCAACACACACTTAGGTCTTGTACGTATTTACATATATGTATGTGTATAATTATGTATGTATATATGTTATGTTATGTATTTTCCTTCGTATATTTAGGTATATATATGTCCCATACTTATTTGTCTACTGTTCGTTTTGCATTACGTATATATTTTAATACTTCTTCATTATATTTAATTAGTATATATTGTGTGATATGTATAATTATATATGATGTTAATGTTAATGTTAATTATTGTGTCACTCTAATAAGTGTTAAACGTTTACACCTACTATTGTATCTCTCTGCACCACCCTAAGGTTGACTGTTAGAGAATGCCACTAGGCATTAAGTCCGCCGTTGTATATCTACAAAAAGTGTAAATAAATAAATAAATAAATATGTATTATTATAGAATTTATTTATTGCATACACATGCATTTATATATACTACATATATATTTATGTTGTATTTATATTTTAGTGTACATTTTAAATATTTTTAGTACCTATCTATATTTATAAAGTCTATTTATGTTATTTGTTTCTTATAATTGTACATAATTTTGTAAATTGTAAATTGTATATAATTACACTTGCCTTATTTTCGCCGATTTCCTATTTAACCCTAAGGTTGACTGGGAGAGAATGCCATATGCCATTAATATCCGCCTTATGTACCATTACTTGATTCTATGTACATTAAAGTTTAAATAAATAAATAAGCATAGATTACCAATGTAAATCAAAATTGTTTATTTATTTTTTATTTACCTTCATTTACAATCTTGCTGTCACTGCGAATTTTGAATTGAAATACTTTGGGAGGATTGAGGCTTATATGAAGGAGGCACACAGTTTTCTTAACGAATTAGTAAACTTCATCTAAAACTAAGTGACATTACATGGTAGAGTGCCCCTACTAATCTAGTTAGGCGACTACATAGCTTAAATGGACCGAAGGACCAAACCTTTGGACCTAAGTCACTATTACCCGTAGAAATTGGCCAGTTGTTCTCCAAAACTCAACCTTTTGCCTTTGTTATCTTAAGACCTAATTTATAGTTGACATTTTGATAACCTGGACTAGAAAGTTTTGTAAGTTCAGAGGTTTTGACCGTTTGCAAAGGTCTAGGCAGGAATGAGTTAATTTGTAACGTTTCTAAGTTGTTTGAGAATAAACGTTTGTGTAATTGTTATGTTATTGTCTCTTTGGAATTGTAATTATTATACTAACCGCTAAACAATTCATTTTTTTGGATTGTAAAATAATATAAATGAACTAAAAATCGCAGGTAACTCACGTGAATATATTGAGAAAAGCTCTACTAGTTTCGAGTCACAGAGGGGCTCTTCCTCATAGCGGCGATGCCAAGTAGGCTGCGAAGATCACCGCGAAGAAAACAGTATTCTTCGAAAATTATTAAAATAATAAAGATGATAAAGACAGACGGTTCATTTTTGTCTTTCATTCGACGTCTTTCACTCAAAATGATACGTCTGAACATGAGAATGAAACAACCGTGAACCGATCCAACGATGTTGGATTTAAGCATTTGGTATCATCCACTCCTACTTTATTGCGCGGTCGCGATGACGTCACGCAGCTTACTGATTCAGTAGGCTTTTCTCAGTATTTTCACGTGAGTAATTATGATTTTAGTTAATTTATAGTTATTATCAAAACAAATACTATATTTTTTTAATCTTCAATTGTAATTTGAAAGTATGAGCCCTTTTCGTCCAATATATGCTACTTAGCATATAACTGAGAACTGTATTGTACATATTTGTTATTGCTCTGAAATTATTACTTATCAATCAATGAAAATAAAACAACATGCTATATTTTTTTTACCATTTTAAAACCCGGTTTACATTTTCATAACAATTTATACCGCGATTTTCTTTACTCACCCAAAAACGTGTCACCTTGCCACGCTCGTCGTAACAATATGATCAGGAATCAGTCATAAGAACAAAGCCTTTTATTATTCAAGTCACGTGACGACAATAGTTTAAGCTCGATCGCGTACAGCTGCTTATACCTTACGCAGTGCTTCTCAACCTTTTCCTAGTCAAGGGTCCATTTAATATCGCTTTAGGTTAGGTTAGAACCTAGTGACTTTTCGTAACGTAGCAACTAAACTACTTGTACTATTAGATATCATTCATAGGTTAGTGACAACCAGAACTCCTGGTCCACAATATGGTAAAATACATAAGACAACACTTAATATGAATATCA